CTTCTTTCTTTTTGTATTTTAGGGAAGGGTCTACAGGGTGCTCAGAGTCCCACTATTAGATTGGACTCATAGTGATCTGCCTGTTTACAGCCTCCCAAGAGCTGGGATTACAGGTGTGCGCCACCACACCCAGTCTCATTTTGTGGTTTCATTGTCGTGTAAACATCATAAACTGTATCAAGTTGGCTACTTTATCGCTAGGCAATCTAATCGTACGTAGGGTCGGTCGCCGACTGAAACGTCATTACGTGGCACGTGAAGACTATTTTAGGGTCAGGATGAGCAAGAGTTGTACGGAAAAGTACGCTTTGCACAACGTGACTTTGAACACAGAAGCAGCAAAATTTCAGCTCCTTTCTTTCAGGACCTTCGGGTGCAGCTGCGCGAGATGCAACACGAAGCGTGGACTGCAGGAAGATGCGCTGGGCGGGGCTGTGGGCCCTCAGCGCACAGCGCTCAGACGGCTCCTGCCTGGGATTGGCTTGTAGTGCTAGTGTTTTGCAGGCTGCGAGGGCACACCATTCAGAGTGCCCCAAATTATCTTCGCCCCAGTGGGCATCCTCTAACCCAGGCCAGGGCCATCAGAACAGAGAGACAAAGAGAACCCTGGCCAATCCTTTCTGATCAAAGATCATTTCACTCTGATTCAGCAGCCTCTGGTGCCATCTCCTTCCTACCTGAGATTCCTGTTTCCTTACCAATTCTGTGACTCTTAGATGTGCTTTCAAGAAGTCGCCATGGCTTTGTAGATTAATGGATGTGTGTGGCCCACAGCCAGGGGAGGTGGGTGCTCTGGGCGTGAACCAATCGGGGTCATCTCCGTCGGCCATTAGGACTCGAGCATGGCAGGACTCCAGCAGGGTCCAGATGAGGACTGGGTGTGCTCGTCCCTGTCTGGTCAGGTTGGATTACCCTGGACACATTTGATGCCCACTTTATGCTTCTACACATTGCTCTTTGGTGGCACAGTATGAACAACTTGACCTCGGAAGCAGGCGGATGAGCTCGCGACCCAGCGGTCCTGTTCTGTGGCTGAGTGATGGAGCTCGACCATCCTGCTACTCCATCTCTTCATCTGCAGAATCCTGCACACACTAGCCAAGATCTGGGGCGGACCTAGACGCCTTCACCCGAGCCATGGAAAGAGAAAATAGGGCATCTGTATGGA